ATATTTTGCTGATGGCTGAGAACGATCGGGCGATCGACAGGTTGATGTGAAGTGCAGTCATGAAATTAAACCACTCGGATTTCGTCCTGGAAGCAGTTGCACCCACGACTTCTTGTCACTTTATTTATCATCTGTCACTCTTCTATAAATAATTGAAATTGATTAGCATCACCGTTCACATTAGTATATGCTAACGAGAATTTTTTAAAGTGAAATTTTTTATAAATTTTTTGTTAACTCATAATATTAATGTAGAAAATGACATTAAATTGTAAAATAACAAAAAATTTATATAGAATCTCACTTTAAGAGTCTTCATATTATTTTTCTGTTGACATTAGCATATTGCACTTACATGAGTTGAGTACACATTCTACATAGTACATATACAAACATCATCGTTAGGACTTAAGAAGTCCTTTCAGAACAAACTTACAAATACAAGTAAATTTTATTTAAAAACGAGAGAGTAATATGAACAAAATAAAAATAGGAAAACTAATGAAAATAGTTTGAAAACTTTGAGTTTTAATGATAAGGACAAAATAAAGGATAAAGTGAATAGTACCAGAATTGACTTTTTAATATAAAAATATGATTTTTCGTTAAAATGAATAGTACCGTAGGCTTGAAACTCTCAAGATAAAAATGTGCTTCATAATTCAATGCTCTGTTCAATTATTGATGCCTTGGTTTGGTGGGATTTCCATGTGTTCAAAGTCTCCGTATTTGCAAGGTAGTTTGATTGGAGCAATTTTTGGATATGAATAGCACAATTGTTATTGTCATATTCTATAAAGTTAAAATTTAAAATTGTTGGAGTGTTATCAATTTATATCGGTACATGATATAAGAGGACAACATGATTTTAGCAAGTTGACTAGATAACATTGTGCTTCATGATTTTAGCAAGTTGACTAGATAACATTGTGCTTCACCCTATACGCATTCAAGTTATGTCCTTATAATTTAGATTAAGTTAGCGTAATTATTTTGTAATTTGAAAACAAAAATATACAAGGTATAACATAAAAAAAACTTATGACAATGAGACACTGAAAAAGTTTTATCCTAATATACACTCTCGTTGTGTTAACATTCATACCACGACCACAAGGTGTTAACTCTCCCTTGCCTGTAGGAAAATCTTCGTCAAACAAGATTTTGGCGCCAAATCTGCATCAGCCTACATTTTTCCTCCGCCTTCGTGCGACGAATATTTGCTGTTGTCAAGCAAAGGCCTCTTGAGCGAAGAAAATTTTCGTCGCTCTGTATTGTGCGACATATCCCTTATTTCGTCTCGCAAATAGTTTTTGTACTACTAGTTGCCATCACAAATTGCCATCACAAGCAAAAACTTGATAATGCCAAAACAATTTTGGTGGGCGGTGGGCAGTGGTAGTGAAGTTGTGAGGCAGCATATGCCGTATGGCTGAGGCAGGCTTGAGTATATACCATATGCTCTGTTATTAACCAAACCATATGCTTTTTTTCTTCTACGAACGACCTACCAACTTTAATAATACACAAATATGCTCTGAAATCATTGCTTTTTTTTTTTTTTTTTTTTTGAGGTAACTGGAAATTCATTAGCCAGGGCAAGAAGCCAAAAGTACAAGGAAAGCCACTAAGGGCTGACAACAACAAACAATGAGAAAGCAAGGAGGATATAAGAATTACGAGACGCAGCCGAACACATGCATTCATGTCAATCCAACGCTTGCTAATTTGTTACAAATAAATAATTTGCCACAACCATATTATTCAACTCATTTGATAATTCAATTCCTACCTGAATTAATCAATCCTAATGTTAACTAGAAAAATGTGTTTCACGAGCTTTTGCGTAAATACCACCCAAACAAAAAAGCTTGCCAATTTTTTATTTAGATTCTATTTTAAGCATGGATGTAACTCTATAAAAATCTTCGTAAAAAAATCCTTTAAAACTCATCATTTGTTGATCATGTACTTCCGTACTTTGTCATGCGTATTTTCTCTACTTCAAAAATTTTAGACTAGGGATGGAAGAATAATATAGGCTTAACTTTGATTAACTAATTACGGCAATTAACTATAATAGGTGGTTTTAGGGAAACCCTAATTTCTACATAGTGTATCTTTAATTTTTTTTTTTTCTTTCTTCAATGTATTAACTATGGCAATGCTGGACTGGAGTAGAACTGTAGAAGTGACTGTGTTGTTTTAATTAAAACAAAAGAGAATCATAGTGACTATATAATTGTCCATGCTCTCACAATAAGCGTTCTAATATATGATAAACCTTATTCATAGCATATACATATAATTTGGAGAGAGTAGAAGGCATTCTTGTACACACGCAAATTCTTCTTTCACAAATAAGTTCATTGTAATCGATTTATTATAGTTAATTTATTAAATCTATGATCCTAATTTTTGGTTGTTGTACTCTCCTTTCCAGAATATATCTTACGATTCTTACCGCTGGAATCAATATAATGAATCCTAATAATCGGGACCAAGTCAAGAAACAAAGCTACTGCTGTTAAGTGTCAACAATTAAGAATAGCTTCTTGGCTGATCTGTTGATTTGTTTGTACTATTTAATTTATTCGATATAGTTGTTGTCTTGTTATATATAGGAATAGTATTCAAACTTGTAAATCATCCATACGAAGCAAATTTGTATCAAAAATGTAGATTTATAACTTGCCAAGTTGGCTAAAGCAGTGTCGTCTCTTATTTACACCCAAGTCCGAATTATCTCTTTTTAGATTAGATAAATTCCCTGTAGAATATCCTAGCTAAGTCAAAACTTGTGAACTTATCACGAAATTCTGCTCAACTCACTTAACTTGAGTTTTTATTAAGCATGGATGATAGAAAGGTATCCAACAATTACAATCCGAGATCATAAAAATTTAAAAACAACTAAAGTGTGGAACTTGGATTTAATTGAAGATTATCTTAATTAATTCATTGCCAAATTGTAAGAATATTGATTCAAAACATCTTTTGCCACTGCTGAAGCTGTCATTCATTAATCCAAAATGAATGAGAAAAAACATAAAAAAATCCTAAATAACCAAACGTAGTAGTAGTTAAGATCATAGCGTCGCGCTTTAAGTTTGACCACATATAAATCTCTGCAGAATAGACGGGCTCTTCGGGCACCTGCAAACCATCCAATCAGCCGGTTCAGTGAAACTGCACTTGGGGCATTTTTTCCATTGCTTAAGGTTCTTCAACATGTTCTTTTGATCTTCCCTCTTTTGAGCTTCCCTTCCCCTATCATGGTCAATTGGCTTCTGAAACTCCACACTTTCGATCCCATGCAAGGACAACGCGCTCGATCTCAACCTCTTAAAAATCTCCTCGGGAGGAATCCGAGGGCAGTACTCGGGCTCCAGCGCCAGGTTATTGTTAGTCTTTAAATCCGAAGACTCTTCAACTTGATCATCAGTTTTACAAAAACTCCTAAACAGTTTTCTAATTTGCTTTTTCGAAGAAACAGTTCTGTTTGTGTCTCCGTTATTGTCATCATTGCTCTGGGGAATAATGAGGACAACTTTTCCTCCGAGGCCTGCGAGAGTAGTAGTAGTACTCTCTATCTTCTTCCATGACGAGGAAGAGTACTCTTTCCAAGGAGTGTCGGATGGATTGGACTTTGAAACTTTAACAATTTCTTCATGAGCGTTGGAGGGATTGTTTGACACAGGAAGTTCAGTAAATCTATCTTCTTCATTAACATCACCATCACAGTCAGTTCTTACAACGTTTTTCGGAGGGAGAGTTTGAGCGTTTGAAGATCGTAGGCAACTGAATTTCTTCATCTTATTCATCTCTGGGTATCTCTTGTATAGTCTCTTTAGTTTCTGTCGATCTTCTTCTACATGCACACACATACACAATATATATATATATATATATATATATATATAATTATTAAGTTATCCTTTTGGTATTAGGTAAACCAAAAAATTTAGGAAACCGATTTAGACTCTGATCAATTGGTCATCTCAATCTAGGTTTCCTCGTCTTACTTGGAATCCATACGTACTAGGGTAAATAAAATTAAGTTAATTTTGTAATTTATTCTAGGCTTCGTTCTTGGCTTTGGAGTTGGTGGTCTTCTTGTTTCCTCTTCTACCCTTCTTGCTTGATGCGCACGTAAAAATATACAATCCTTACCAAGCATTGATCGAATACTTACCTGGTAAAAAGATAATATTTACCTAATCTCTTGTTTCTTCACTATCTTTTGCAATATTGACGTAAATTGAGTTTAGTTTCATAAAAATAAATAATAAAAAAGATTATTATTGTTATTATTATTCTTAATACTATATAGGTCCTAGTTATTGTAATTTGTATTGTATTATACTTCAATGAAGGTGAAGGACTAAGATCAATTGCATCATCTTTGAGGGCATTTTATTTGTACAATAATGTTAGATTGATAATTTTTATAATCATATTATATTAGTTGATCACATAATGTGACATTTAGTGTTTAAAATATCGATATAGATGGAAATATCGATATCGATTGCATTCAATGAAAATTTGTAATGGTGTGGGTATATTAACTTATTCATATAATTTAGTCGAAATTAAAGAAAATAATTTTTTTTTTAAATTTCAAAAATTTGAAATCTGTAATGGGTTCCGGCAAAATTTTCGTAATGAATCAGTAAATATCATCGATATTCATTGATTTTTGTATATCTAGTTGACATAGGGTGAAGTTTCCATTTCACCCCTTTTCATATATATCCTTAATTTTTTTTATATTTCGACGAAAATATCGACAATTTCGTTGATATTTTAAACACTGATGACAGTTGCTGTGTAATATAAATAGCTCTTATTACTCTATTTAGAAATTTGATAGTGAGATGCTAACCGATGTCGTTTACTAATCAAATTCCCAACTTAATTCTCATATAATTTTGAAAAATTGGAAAAAGAAATAAATATCCAACGACGGTGCGTTTCAATTATCGTTATATGCAGGATGGTTTATCCGTAATTTTACCGCGCAACGATTTCTCCCTGCCACCTCAATCCCACGGCGACCTCGTTTTCGAGAGTTCGCCACTCCTCTGCAAACCCTAATTACTGCAATTGGAAAAATCTTTCCGTCCTCCCTGATTCCAGTTCGAATTCCCAATTTCACCGATGACTTCGTCGAAGAAAAGTTACAAGGAGAAAGTTGCCCGCCGCAAGTGAGTTAAAAGTTTCAATTTTTTTTTTATTTGTTTTCACTATCCGACGCACATTATGCTTCCAATTCAATACAGGCAGTATTAATTTTGATCCAAAGTTTAAATTTTTATTATTATTTCTTAATATTTGTTATATTTTTTGTACAATTAAGCTGTTTTGCTAAAATCTGGGAAAAAGATTTCAGCGTGATTTGCATGGTCATGTAATTATTGGGTAACGAATGTGGGAATGCAGATTATGCGTTTGATCCTTGATGCAATGTTTGTGTGATGGTGCATGCAGGGAGGAGAAAGCGGCGGAGCAACCGGAGTTGCCGAAGTACAGAGACAGAGCTAAGGAGCGAAGGGAAGATCAAAATCCCGATTATGAGCCGACTGAATTGGGTTCTTTTCATGCCGTTGCGCCTCCCGGAAACATTGATCTCCGGTTAGTATCAAACTTATCAATGCCTCTGCTATTTTAATAGCTTAATTATCTTTGCACATTGGTATTTGCAGGGCAGCTGAGGTACAGAAGTTGTCCATTGAGAAGAGCAAGTATCTTGGAGGTTTGTGTTACGCTTTGTTTTAGAAATTTGTTCCCACTGTATTGTTTACAGGGTCTCAGTTTTCGGTATAGGATTCATTTTTTACCATGTTTGTGAAGCTAAGTGCGATTGACGTTGCATTTGTTGATATCTATGAGAATTCGTGAAGTCACGAGTCACCTAATCAATAGTTTTTTGGCTAGCCATTTTTGTACATGTGGAAGGGCGTTGACTTATTTTATGCTGAACTTGATTAATGTTGTCCAGGTGATGTGGAACACACACATTTGGTCAAAGGATTAGATTACGCTTTACTTAACAAAGTAAGAAGTGAGATTGACAAAAAGCCAGATGATGGAGATGAGACTGATGCAAAATCTAGGTAATTGTATGTGGATTACTTATATTGTCAAGTTATGTCTAATCTTAAAAACATCAAGTGTTAAATTTCGCAAACACGATGTATTTGGGTTAAATTCTGTTGATATTGATGGCCATATCTCAAGTGTTAATATGAAGAATGATAGCCATATCTCAATAAACTTCTTTACCAGTTTCATAGTGCGTGTGCCACTGCTAACACTTGTGTGCTTCCTATTCACTGACAGAGCATCTAAGGAAGACCAAAAAATTTCATTTCGCACTGCTACTGCAAAGGTATGTCACTTTTGGTGATATGATGAGGCAGTTATTTTGTTAAATCATTATCTGTTTCATTGATGTCTCATTTCTGTGTTTCAGTCAGTGTACCAATGGATAGTCAAGCCCCACGCCGTTATCAAAACCAACGAGATGTTCCTACCTGGTAGAATGTCATTCATTTTTAACATGGTAAGAGCCTTTGATGCTCTTTTCATATTAAGCTTGCTTAATTTAGATCATAGTAGTCTTTTCTGGGAACAATTTGTGCTCATGTTTTAAGCTTGCCTAAACCCTTATAAACCTTGGGTGGCCTGTTCAGGACCATTTCATGTTTAGTTGCCACCTAAATCATGCATGGAAGTTCAACTTTGAGAAGTGTTTGTAGGCACTTCTCTGAGAGCACTGAGCTTGCTATTGCAGGATACTCAATGAATGTGATCTCCCATTTTCCTGACATTTACATCTTGTTCTCGTATTTTGCATCTCAGGAGGGAGGATACACTCATGACATCCCAACCACCTTGCATAGGAGTAAAGCTGACTGTCCACAGACAGAGGTTAAAAGATCTGACACTTTGTGAGGTCTTCCCATCATTGTTAGACTGTTTATCTTATTTTGGCTTCTACTTTGTGCAGGAAGCAGTAACTGTCAATGTTGATGGTTCTGTACTTGACCGAATTGCTAAAATTATGTCATATCTTCGTCTTGGATCTTCTGGGAAGGTTCTCAAGAAGAAAAAGAAGGAAAAAGATGCAAGAGGTATGCTGCTTTTGGTCAAAAGTAACTGAATAATCAGTTTTACGCAACAGAAGGCCTTGATAGAGTCGTCTATAATAAACTGCTATGAATATCTTTTATAAGTCAAAGCAATCAGATAGGTAAAAATGTATTTGAAATCATTTTTCATGATAAAAATTGTATGGCCGTTATGCCTAAATGGCTATATGGCCCTGTGCTTGGAGCTAAGCATCCCAAACTCACGGTGAAACAGGGCAGCTAACAACCAGTTCAGATAGTCGTATCTTATTCAACTCAGATTTTTCTGGGAGAAACTAAACCAAACTAAACTAACATATATCTGTGTACTTTTGTATCCTTGGTTGCCTGATATCATCGCAGACATTGGCATTTTGAAGTATTTCGTGATGAGTGAAGTGATCAGATTCCATAATTTGTTTTGAGATTTCACATCAACTATTTTCATCCTTCATCCCTTCTGCCCTTTTTGGTTGTTTATTCGTCTAATTACTTAATCAAGTTCTTTTCTTGGTCCATCTATTTTAGGTACAGGAAAGATTTCAGTCGTTGGTAATGAGTATGATGGAGAGGATAAGTCCTTGAAGCCTGATGATGGGATTTTGAAGAAGGAAACTAGAAGGGAGATTTTGCCACCACCCCCTCCACTCCCTCCCAGGAAAAATCACATACATTCAAAAGCACAACAAGGCCCAACTGTTGCCAGAGTAGACGAGGATGACATTTTTGTTGGGGATGGTGTTGACTATGTTGTTCCTGGTAAAGACTTGAGTCAAAGCCCTCTCTCCGAGGACATGGAAGAGTCTCCTCGGAACAAGGAAAGAGTTTCTTATTTTGATGAACCTGCTTATGGTCCTGTCCAACCCGTCCAATCCTACGGGGTGCCTCAGGAATGGCAAGATATGGTACATTTATCCTTTTCATTTTCATTCTGAAAATTGCAGTACAACTATGTTTCTAAACAAAACTTGACTTGCATTTCAACTTGGATGGGTATTTTATGTTACATTTTGGGTTCAGAACGGATACGATGCGGCACAAACACAAACTATGGACGGTGCCTACCAGGGAGAGTGGCCAGAATACCAATATGCTGAGCAAATGGCTTATCCTGAACAATACCTCCAGGCAAATATGGAGGGTTACGATGAACAAACAGGCTTAAACATGCAGGATCCACGCTTTATGACTCAAGAGGAGAAGGATCGGGGTTTAGGATCTGTGTTTAAGCGGGATGACCAAAGACTTCAACAATTGAGGGAGAAGGATGCCCGAGAAAAGGATCCAAACTTCATCTCGGAGAGTTATTCAGAATGTTACCCTGGTTATCAAGAATATAATCGTGAGGTGGTTGACAGTGATGATGAAGATGACTTGTCAAAAATGGACATGGGTGGACGAGTAAGTTTCTGATAAAACATAAAGAAAATATGCTTGATTCCTTCTAAAATGTGTTGCAATCATTGCTTATGTTATTGTCAATATATTTCCCTGACAGGCTAAGGGTCGTCTTCACCGGTGGGACTTCGAGACAGAAGAAGAATGGGCAACATACAATGAGCAAAAGGAGGCTATGCCCAAGGCAGCTTTTCAGTTTGGTGTGAAGATGCAGGATGGTCGTAAGACACGAAAGCAAAACAAGGACCAGAAGATCACTAATGACCTGCACAAGATCAACAAGATACTTGCTAGAAAGAAGATGGAGAAGGATATGGACGGTGAGGGTGGCGGCCATTATGACGATGATGAACAGCCTGGCAAGAAGATTCGAGTTTGAAAATAGTTTAGTTAGGTTAACAGATTGTAATATTTAGTGGGAATAATTTGATTGCACCTTCAAACTGCGTTGGATGGAGGTAAGCGAATGGAAAATGTCCTTTACGTTGTTTGGAAATTTAACACCAACTTCGACTCGTGTCTTGGGACGGTGGCTATCTAAGAAACTAGGCTCGGAACAAACTCTTTCGACCAAAGCAGGGAGCCCATCTCTTGAATCTGGAAGCAACAAGTACATGGAGCATTGCCACTCCATGTTTTTGCCTTGTTCGTAAAGAAGCTTCAAAACTTTTAAACCGTCAAAGGCTGCTACAAATTGGTCCTTGGAGATTCTCATGAACCGCGCCTTAACAGATGTGCCGTTAAGAAGGTGAAAGTTGTCGTCTTTTAATTGTTCCCCATGCATTGAAGTTGTCGCTCCAAAGGCCTTAGAAGTGTAGGCATTTGAAAATATAAGCATCGTTTTCTCGTCAACTGACTCAGGGTTCTGGAAATTAACATGTTTTATAGCCGCCTTGTAAACAGTTTCCACAACCTTCTTAAAGAAGGTTTGATGGGGAGAGAATACTGAACCCAAAGGCCATTGGCAAAGCATAGGCGGGGACCGGCCTTATTGGACCCGTCTGCAAAGATTAAAGGGACAAGATGGGAAGCGAGAGAATGGAGTTGATCGGTGGAGTTGGACTTGAGGAAAGAGAGCAATTGGTCCTGTGTGGGACCTTTTGAACCGGCTGTTAACAGCCACAGCAGGACCTGGATGGATAGCGGCGAGTACAGTGTTCTTCTCTTTTCCTTCAGTCATAAGAAGATGCTTAGTGATTTTGAGTGCGACGTCGGTTAGGTTGCTGGCTACTTTGGGATCCATGGTGAAACTGTTTATTTTTCGATCACAAGTAATATGTGAAATCTTTGGTTTTTTCCTGGATCGATCGCTATGGGACAAGGGAAACGACTCGTTTGCCTCGGCTGCAGCAGGAGTTGAGTCATCCGCATCCGCTAGATTTTTGATGAATCGTTTGCGACCCATTCTTTGATAGTAAAGCTGTCAGTGTGAAGAGATGGATTTGAAATAGTTGGATCGGTCGGCATGAGGAAAGAAAGACGCCAGGCAAGTGAGAGATTTTGGGTAAAAATATTCAAACCCTAAAACACTCACGGCTGTATTGTGAAGTAATTAGGTTTATATAAGAAAGAAATCCATGGACCTTGAGATGTGGAAGCCCATCTCTTGCTTGCCGCACAAGAATATTAGCTGTAAATTTCCTTAAAAAAATCTTTATTGTTGTAGTCCTAATTGTTTAGGAATGTAATTGTGTAAATCCTATTATATCTAAGATATCTTGAGTAGATTCTATCTTATCTCCTAACTTAAATATTATCCTGTTAGAGTTGTAATCCTATTACCCATTTACCTTCCTAATGCTATAAATAAAATGCAATGGTGTGGAATAACACGCATCGCCATTACACATCTCTCTCTTCTCTCTCTATGCGACCCCCCCTTCTCTGTCCTATATCAAGATTTAAAGCTCGATTGGTTGCACAAGGGTATACTCAGGAACAAGGTCTTGATTATTCTAAGACATTTAGCTCAGTGGTCAGACACACCACATTTCGAATTATACTTGCATTAGCAGTACAATTTAGTTGGTCTTTGAGACAGCTTGACATTAACAATGCATTTTTACATGGAGACCTTGAGGAAGAAGTTTATATGAAGCAGCCTCAAGGATTTGTGGATCCTGAACATCCTAATCATGTTTGCAGTTTGTCAAGTCATTTTATGGGTTGAAATAAGCCCCAAGGGCATGGAATTCAAATTCACAAGTTATCTTCTAGCTCTTGGTTTTCAAGCATCACTTTCAAACGCAAGTTTGTTTGTTAAAGTTGATAATGGTGATATTATTCTACTTCTGCTCTATGTTGATGATATAATCCTCATTGAGTTAAGTCCAACTAAATTCAAGAAGTGATTAATAACCTGGCAGAGGTGTTTGACCTTAAGGACATGGGTAAACTCACTTATTTTCTTGGTTTACATGTTTAATACAGTGGTGATGGAGCTTTGTTCATACATCAGTCAAAATATGCTAAATAACTATTAAAGAAAACTGGTATGGATAACTGCAAACCAAAATCAACTTCATCCAAACCTCACACTCAGATACTTGCAACTAAAAGAAATTTATTATCTGATCCAAGTCACTATAGGAGTATTGTGGGAGCTCTCCAATACCTTACTTTTACAAGACCAGATCTTGCACACTCTGTCAATATAGTGTGTCAATATATGACTCAACCTACAAATGCTCACTTTCACTTAGTGAAAAGAATATTCAAGTATGTGCAAGGGATCATTAATTATGGGTTACACTATACAAAGAGCATAGAATTTCAAGTTACTGCCTATTCAGACTCTGATTAGGCAGCATATATCAACACTATAAGGTCTATTTCAGGTTTTGTAGTGTATATGGGATTGAATCCAATCTCATGGCAGTCGAAGAAGCAAACAACTGTCTCGAGAAGTTCAATAGAAGCTGAATACAAAACATTAGCTCATTGTGTAGCTAATGTGTTTTGGATCTGATATGTGTTCAAAGACATTCATCAATTCTTATCAAAACCATTTTCACTTCATTGTGACAATCTGTCAGCTTTGGCATCAAGTTCCAATCCTGTGTTCCATTCCAAGATTAAACATCTTGACACGGATTACCATTTCGTTCGAGAAAAAGTACAAAATGGAGATATAAGTGTGCACTACATTCCAATAGAAGACCAAGTCGCAAATGTCTTTACCAAAGGTATACACAGTCCAGTGTTTCTCAAGCATTGCAGACACCTTGGGTTTAGGACCTCCAACACCATTGCAGCAAACTACGCTAGGCAGTACTACACTTAGTTTGAAGGGGGAGTAATAACTATAGTGTACATGTGGCGATTGGTTGTTATAAGGTAGTTGTATGGATCAAGTTAGTTAGAAATAGGTGGGATTGTAAGAAAAGGCAATATAGTAATTCTGTCATTAGTTAGTTTACTATAAAAGTAAAGTGGTTAGGCATTTTGGAGATTACCTTGTAATTCATTCATTGTATTCAATTGAGCTTTTCCCTTCTCTCTATTCTCTCTAGCATTTCTCAGAAATCCTTCAAACTTTTCATTGTTCTTTACACTGTTATGACCGCTAGGTGTTGACACGTGTTCTTCTTGATGACTTGTCCAAATTTGATAAGTCACATCCATGTGTACCATTTGTGTGACGCATAGCGTATGCCACGTATGCCTAGACATGTCGAAACTTTAATGTATTGACGAACATTTATTTCATTGAAATTTTGATGTCTACACCATAGGTTACGCAAACGCAGTGAGATGTTCCTTTGGTTGACAAAGCACTTTTAGCCGTTTCATAAGTAACTGTTATCTACAGAGCACTTCATTATGACAATCTAAATGAGATACAGTTACAGGTTGCTTCAAATGCACGCCATAACTCCCGTCGTATTAATAGTCTCGGTCTACTGGTCGATTACTTTCTGTAAATTGTCATAGCATGTACAATTACAATTATCTATCCAGAACTGATGTTGTAGAACCAAAAACTGTAGTTAAAGGCTAAGGGTTGAGTTTAAAGGTCAATATATTTTTATCATACTTTTGTTGCAATCATTGCTTCTGTTATTGTCAATTATATATAAAGGGTGCTATCCACACACCCATTTTTACTTCTCACATACCCTTTGTTAATTTCTGTCCGTTGATTTTCTTCAATTCATTCGATCCGACGACCGAAAATTAGAAGGGTGTGTGGATATCACACCCCTTATATATATTTTCGATGTATTCAGCTGTGGGACTTCGAGAGAGAAGAATATGGACAACATACATTTAGCTAAAGGAAGCTTTCCAATTTGGTGTAAAGATGCAAAATGGTTGTAAGACACAAAAGCAAAACAAAGACCAGAATATCACCGATGCCTGCACAAGATCAACAAGATACTTCAGAGAGAAGATGGAGAAGGATATGGACGGTGAAGGTGGTGGCCATTATGACGATGATGAACAGTCGGGCAAGAAGTTTCGAGTTTGAATTAGCTAGTTTAGTTAGGTTAACAAACTTTAATATGTAGTGGGAAATTTTTGACGTCACTTCAAAACTGCGTTGGATGGAGGTAAGTGAATGGAAAATATCCTTTTCATTGTTTGGAAGTTCAATAGAAACGAATGTAAAGATTATACACTAATATTAATCATTTGGAGCACTTTGATCTATTAAATACATACAGTGCTTATGAGGGAAGAGATTTTCATTTTCTTCAAGAAAATATGGATTAGTTGTGGGGCCTACTTTACATAGAACTTCAACGACATGCATGTCTATTTTTCAAATTACACCTCATAGATTATTCTTACAAAATATTAGCCCAACTGAAAGTATTTGAGGTATCTAATTAGATTCAAAGAAATTGACGAATAATATATTCTAAAAAATATTAAAATTTCATTGTGACAATTAATAGACAAATGGTTTCGGATTGAATTGAATTTTTGCAAGAATGATTTATAAATTACTTGCAAAATAAACGGTTAAGATTGTTAAAGTTTAATGTGAAATAAGTCCCACAACTAATCCTCATTTTCTTTAAAAACATGAAAAACCATTCCTTTAAAGAATCTTTAAACCTATACCATAAAACGATGGGAAGTTTAACAAAAAACTTCTGTTACTGTTTACTTTAACGAAAAATCACATTTTACATTAAAAAATTAATTATGATACTATTCACTTTATCCTTTATTTTGTTCTTAAATTTAAAAATTTCAAACTATTTTTTTTTTTTTTTTGGTACAACGGAGGGCAAAGCCCGGCAACAAAACAAAAAAATCAGGCAAGAACAGCCCTAGGAAGGGCCCTGCCGATAGAATCAGAAACTAGAACATTACTAGCAGAGGTAGGAGGAGAAACAAAAACATGGAGGCCTAGGGATAGCCCATGACCCAAGTCAGCCATGTGATCAGCTGAGGCATTCATTTCTCTATATATATGAGTGACTTCACATCTCCAATTTTTTCCGATGGCTTCTTTGCAGTCAATAATGAGATTGTAGAGAGGGTGCGAATCCAGAATAGGTTTTT